GTCCAGCTCTTTCCTTCTTCTTCCTTTAGACCTGCTTTTGCTTTCCTTTTCGGGCGAAGTTACTTTATTACTGGGCGTAAAATATGATTTGTAACCGTACATTGTAGCCGTGGTTTCTACCAGTTTACAAAGAGGTTTGTAAATCTTTGGTATCAAACAGCTTACTTTAGTTTACTTTACTGCAAAGAAAACGGAAGTGATACTCAACGGATCATTAATTAGCTGGGTGTTTTACAAATACTACGTAAGATTCTGTTAAGATAGATAATAGGTCGGCGTTAGATCGTGAGGCCAGTGCCTTCATTCTATTTCTACTGTTACGCATGAACTTTGATGTCACATTTCATGCATCATAAATTTATTGCACCCAATTTTTCTGGGGCGCTTTCCATTCAGCCCAAATATCCGCAAATTTTGGACAGAAATCAAATGGAACGAGCCATTTCGGTTCGCTCCGACCGGAATATTTGGGACCACCTTTGAAGGTGGTTCAGTTTGACCAGTCCACTCATTTAAGTCGGTCCGACCGAGAAGTCCCTTCCATTTGGCAAAATTGTGGTCCCCAGTATCGCTTTTTTATATCCTGCTTGCAGCAGGAACAATAAGCAAACACGCGGTGGCTTGGAACGGATCTGTGAAACCGGAATGAACCGTTCCATTGGTCACGTGGAATTTTCGAAATTTCAAACCAAAATTTTTGTTGAATGGAAAGCGCCGCGGCACTGGGGAGCACTGGGGTGTCTTTTTCAAATAGCCAATACCAGGGCCTTTTAGTGCCCCGAGATTTCTTGCAGAAAAGTACTGGGGAAGAGGTTGCACACGTGAGTGCTTTTATGAGTGCTTAGAAGTCAAGGTAAAAATAACACTGAATCGTGAGAGGTAATACGAGGAGTATCAAATTAAGCTCACTAAAACACGAACACGAATTATTTACAGACAGAGAAACTGGAATAGACTACATATTGAAGAAAAGCCTGGCATTTATTTGTTAGACATTTATCCAAGACATATGTAGGTTCCTGCTACTGATGATCTTTAAACCCGGATTACTCGACACATGGCCTGGTCGCCTGGGCTGCCTGTGGTCAAGCAACTCTTCCGCTTCGCATCCTAGGTGTTATAGGCTTTGTTCCTTTTAAATTATATGAAAATCGAGCGGTGACTGTGTCATCATTTATACCAGCTGCGCACGCATGCGGTGTCATTTTTGTCCTTCTATTAAAGACTTCCACAGTGGTATTTGTCAGTTGTCCTACGCTATGGAAAACGTGACAACATCATCTGCCACAGTCCCGGACGGTATCCGAATCGGAGTTTGTGGTTTGGTGGGTGCCTTATATCTAAGTGCATCAATCGTCACGGTTACATTCAACGGCCTGTTGCTGTACGTGATATTCAAGGATCCGCTAAAATGCTTTCGGCGACCATTTGCAGTGTACATGACGGGATTGGCGATGACCGATTTTCTGTTTGGCGCCGTTCTTGACCCGCTTTCAGCAAGGATAGAATTCTACTGTGTCAAGAACAAAGACGGCGAAACAACTTTTTACCACATCATCGATTATTTTATTGATAACTCTGCTACCGTGTTGATATTTGCCGTGTCAGTTGACAGGCTTCTTGCTGTCGCTTTTCCAATTTTTTACCGCGTCTCCGTCAAGAACACTCACGCGGCCATTGTCATTGTTTGCGCCTGGTTTTATTGCATGGCGTTCAGTTTAATTCAGCTAGCGGACGTCGCTGATGAAATTTACGACACGGT